GTTGTGATAATACTAGCGCCATAAGCTTGACGAAGAACCCCGTTCTTCACTCAAGGACGAAACACATTGACATTAGGCATCATTTCATTAGAGATCATGTTCTCAAAGGTGATGTCGAGATTGAGTTTGTTGAAACACACAACCAATTAGCCGACATTTTCACAAAACCTTTAGAGAAAGAGTCGTTCTTCCGCATTCGAAGTGAACTCGGAATCCTTGACTCCACGATGATCTAAGTTGTGCATCTAAATTTATTAAACACTTACTAACTTGAGCGTCGGAGAACTTTTTCTTTTTTGCAGGTACCCCGTTCATGAAATCAGGGGGAACCATGCAAACAGCGCTGTCCAGGAGACACAACAGCGCTGTTTAGGGAAACACCGTCAACCAGAAAGTTCTCCAACAGCGCTGTCTATCAACCCAACAGCGCTGTCCCAGGGAGTCCCTTACACCTTCACTTTCCGGAAACTTTCTGAACATCGATGTCCCCTTTGTAAACATCGCTGTCTTCCCAAATTTTTTTTGTTTTCAACCAAAACCAGAAACTTTTTAAACAGCGATGTCTTACCCTCAACATCGATGTTCACTTTTACAAATTTTTTCCTCTATCGCAAAACAGCGATGTAGAGAAACCCAACAGCGCTGTCCTAATGGGTTCAAACCCTTACACAATTCCAGAAACTTTTGGAACATCGCTGTAGGGTACTCAACATCGCTGTCCTTTTGACTCCTGTTTTTTTAAAACTTGACGCAGAACAGCGCTGTACTAGGCACAACAGCGCTGTTCCAACAGCGATGTCGCCTTTGGAACATCGCTGTCCTGGTCAAAATTTTCAAAAAAAAAATCCGTTGGCTGCAGCATTAATTTCTCCAACAGCCATAATTTTGAAAATCAGGCCGTTGGACACCACCTTTCCTATAAATTGGGACCCCCTCTCTTCACTTTTACACACACAAACACAAATTCCTTCAATATCTTCACATATTTCATCCTCTCTACTCTAATTTTTTTGAGATTTCTTCACAATGGGCAAAGACAAGAACAGGGCAGGCACCTCCGGAAAATCCAAGTCCAAATCTCAGGCTCCATCCACGACCTTCGAGGAACGCCTCTACTACGGCGATGGATCGTACCTCTGGTTCGATTCCGAGGAGGAGCGCACCCGATTTCTCACCTTTTTCTCCAAACGGGTTGTGGCTCCCCCACGAATCATCCCAGAGCGCTACCCGGAATTGCAGGGCTACGACGACCTCGACGCGCAGCTTCATCAAGCCGGCCTTTGGCCGTTCGTCTCCCGGGCGCGCAAGGAGATCAACCCGGCGCTGATCCGGGCCTTCTACTCCAACCTCCGGCGTGAGGACGACGTGCTCTACTCGCTCGTCAAGAGCACGCCGATCGAGCTCACCGTGGAGCAGCTTGGGCGCATCGCCGGCCTCCCCTTCCAAGGCGACGATGTGTCTCACTATGGTGGCGAGGATTGGGTGCTCAACAACGAGGGCCTTATCCTCAACGAGCTTGGCATCACCGAGCTCAAACGCCATGCCTCGGGACGCCCAACCATCCACTCCGCCANTCATGCACGGTGAAGACCTCAAGCTTATCCATGCGATCATGCATTCGGCCCCAATCAATTGGGCAAAGTTTGTCATGATCAACATGACGATTGCCGCGTCCACCGAGCACGACCACCTCCTCCCGTACCCGTTTTTGGTGATGGACATCCTTGAACGGTTCAAGGTAACCACCACCGTTGGCCCGCTCACGAAGGCCACGAAGATTTGGACAATCAGCAACCAAACCTTCCTCAAGCGGTCGGACAACGCCGCGGCTGCCACTGCCCAGCCACGCCGCACTGCCACTACCGCAGGCCAAGCCGAACCCCAGGCCCGGGCCAACCTTGCCTCCATCGCCGACTCCCTCAACCGGCTCCACCTCAAGGTTGACGGGATGGGGAGATATCTTGAACGGCTCGACGTGGCTGTTCAACGCCAAGGATACGCAATGAACTCGTACTTCCAAGGCATTAACTACGTCCCCCCACCGTACCACGGCACGTTCTTTGGGCAAGTGTACGGTGACGAAGACGAAGCCGATGACTCCTACGCCCCGTCAAGCTCCCCGGATGAAGACGAGTTCGACGATGCCATCGATGGGGATGAGATGGACGCCGACAACGACGAGGAGGAAACCGAAGACGAAGACTAGGACTCCCCCAAAATTTCTATCTCTTTTACTTTAATTATCCTGTCTTTTTTAATGCTTTCGTTGTAATCCGCTATTTCCCTTTATTTAATAAAATCATTTCGTTTATCTTTTTGTTAATGTCAAAAGGGGGAAGAAAAGGGCTATGCATATACTAAGGGGGAACGTCTCTATAAACGAGACCGTTTGATTTTAATCCAACTAAATCTTTTTTTAAGCACAAATTAAGGGGGAACTTTTTCTTTTTCACAACTTTTGAAAAACAAAAATCCCTTAGTATGCATATCCCCGTCTTGTTTGCCATTATCAAAAAGGGGGAAATTGTTGGAACACAAGTTTACGCCTACGTCGTACTAAACTGTGTTCGTTTCTATGACAGGTTTTGATAATGCCAAACCGCCGTGACATAACAAGGCTAAAGAGAGAAAAACTAAGGCGAAGGAACATGGCATGATGACTTGAGAACCAAGAACCCAGAATCAAGAACGAAGAACTAGAATTGTATTGAGTCGGTCTTAATGTGATCAAGATCGGCACAAAATTCCAAATCTTGGCTCTCTAGGCTCAATTCATAAAATCTCTTTTACATATTTCAAATATTTTTTTCTTAAGTTTTAAACTTGGCTCAAAACACTTGGAGTTCGCCCAAGCCAAAAACCAAGCCATCCTGCGTTCGGCTTTCAGAAACCGGCGTTCGGCTTTCGGTTTTCGGCATTGATTTTTGGCGTCCAAACCAACCAAGTGGTTTTCAACTTTTTATGACTGGTTTTTATTTCTGGGCATATTTAAATAGTTCTCCAACAAAAACGCCTCAAAAACCACCTTCTGTTTTTGGTCGTTTAGTGAAAACCATGCGAAACGGCGCGAACTCGGCTAGCCGTGGTTTTCAACTAAATAACGTGATTTTTAAGATGTTTTACTTGATTTCTTAGAAAAATGCATTAAACAAACATTTTCAATACTTGGTTTTTATTTTGGAGAACTTACATTTTTGGACATCGGCTAACGGCTGACTAAACCAACCATGGGTCTGGCTAAACCAGCCCAACAGCGATGTTGGTGAAACCAACAGCGCTGTCTGGCTTGGGTGGCTGAAAACCATGGTTTGGCGTTAAGTCTTCCAAACAGCGATGTTGGATGTTAGACATCGCTGTTGAGCCAAGGTTGGATTTCCAGAAACTTCTGGAACAGCGATGTAGGCTCCCCTACAGCGCTGTCCAACCTAAGCCAAAAATATAGTGCATTGGCAGAAAGTTTTTGGACAGCGATCCCAGCAACAGCGCTGTCAGACCAAACTTCCATCTCCAAAGGCAGACCTAAACAGCGATGTTCTAGTATAGAACATCGATGTAGAGACCTGACCGTTGGAAGGAATTTGAGGCTAAAACTTTCCTTGTTTGGAAGTCAACAGCCAAAACAGCGATGTAGGGATTTTAGACATCGCTGTTGGCATGACCGTTGCTTCCCATTTTTCAAACCGCAAGCCTAGAACAGCGATGTCCAGGCCTAGGACAGCGCTGTCTGGGTGATTTTCAAAATATCCAAATTTCATCAAATCCCACAAATTATGCCAATCACCCCTTTAATACTTTGGTCCGTTGGAGCCTATTTTTCTACTATAAAATGGGGTGTTTGGGTCTGTTTTACACAATCACATTACTTCACAACTCCTACTCTTTCATTGCAAATCATTCTTTAATTATTCATAGCTTTTGAGAGCCATTTTTGTGAAGCTTGTGTTGTGTTTTTGAGCGTTCTTAGTTTACTCAATATCCACTCTAAAAAGAGAGTATTGTTCTTGAGTGTTTTTAGTGTTCTTAGACACTTGACAAGAGACGGTATTTCTCTTGTTGTTCGAAGGAAGGGCTGTTTCCTTCGAAGGTTCGTTGAGGTTCGTGTGACTCGAATTCTCAAGTTGTACGGGTTTGTTAAGCACCGTTAAGCTTAACGAGATAGTAGTGTAGCTCGAGAGAGTCTCTCGAGAGGCTGGATTAGCCACAAGTTGTGGTGAACCAGGGTAAAATCGGTGTGCCTCTTTCTTTTCTCTTTACTTCTCGCTTATTCATTTTTATTCCTGCAATTTCTTGATCAAACGCTATTCACCCCCCCTCTAGCGTTGGTCTATTATTCTAACACATCCTTGTCGAGATAGCAAGAGGTGCTCATCGGTGTGTCAATGGATTTGGATTTTGTAACATCGAATCTCTTAAGCAATTCTCTGCAATATTTCGTTTGACACACGAATGTCCCTTCTTTGCATTGTCTAATTTGTAGCCCAAGGAAGAACTTTAATTCTCCCATCATCGACATTTCAAATTCACTTTGCATCATATCGGAAAAATCCCTGCACAAAACCTCGTTAGTAGCACTGAATATGATATCATCTACGTAAACTTCAACCAAAAGGATGTCTTGGTTATCTTTCTTGATGAAAAGTGTAGTGTCGACTTGACCCCATTTGAACTCATGGTCCAAAAGAAATTTGCTTAACCGTTCATACCAAGCACGAGGTGCTTGTTTGAGACCGTAAAGCGCCTTTTTGAGTTTGAAGACATGTTCGGGAAACTCATAGTCTTCGAAACCCGGGGGTTGTTCGACATACACTTCCTCTTGAATGATACCATTAACGAAGGCACTTTTAACATCCATTTGATAAAGTTTAAAATCCATCGTAGATGCAAATGCAAGTAATAAACGAATAGCTTCTAAACGTGCAACCGGTGCATAAGTTTCTTCATAATCAATGCCTTCTTCTTGATTGTAGCCTTTAGCTACAAGCCTAGCTTTGTTTCTAGTGATTACTCCATTTTCATCGACTTTGTTACGAAACACCCATTTTGTGCCAATAACGGAATGATCATTAGGTCTAGGCACCAATTCCCAAACATCTTCGTGTTTAAATTGGTTAAGCTCCTCTTGCATTGCCATAGACCAATGTTCATCATTAATAGCATCCAAAACGGTTGTTGGTTCAATTTGAGAAACAAAGGCCATGTGATTAATTGTGTTCCTAAGAGAATTACGAGTAGAAACTCCCTGCGTTATGTCACCAATAACGTTGTCAATCGGGTGATTCTTCAACGTTCTCCACTCCTTAGGAAGCTCCGTTTGCTCCTGCATTTTCTCTTCTTCCGGTTCCTTTTCCTTAATGATTTCTTCTTCATCGTCATAAGAACCTGCAACATTTTCAACAAAACCTTTTCTCGCCAAGCGAGCATCAAATTCATCAAAGACAACATGAATAGACTCCTCTACGGTCTTAGTACGCTTGTTGGACACTCTATATGCCTTACTACGAAGAGAATAACCTAAGAAAATTCCTTCATCCGACTTAGCATCAAATTTTCCCAAGTTATCTTTTCCATTATTATGTATAAAAACTTTACATCCAAAGACATGAAAATAGGAAAGGTTAGGCTTTCTTCCTTTGTAAAGTTCATAGGGCGTTTTCTTGAGTATCGGTCTAATGACGGCTCAGTTTAACACGTAGCACACGGTACTCACGGCATCCGCCCAATTATATTTAGGAACGTTAGCCTCATTGAGCATAGTTCTAGCCATCTCTTCAAGAGATCTATTTTTCCGTTCAACCACTCCATTTTGTTGTGGTGTACGGGGGGCCGAGAAGTTATGCTCAATGCCTAATTCATCACATAAGGCGTCAAAGCCATCTTGATCGAATTCTCCCCCATGATCACTTCTAATGGATGAAATGTGATAATCTTTTTCATTTTGAACCAATTTGATAAATTTTTTAAAAACATTAAGTGCATCATACTTATGAGCAAGAAAAAGTTTCCATGTAAACCTCGAATAGTAATCAACGATAACAAAGCCAAAGTAATTACCTCCTAAACTCTTAGTCCTTGAAGGTCCAAAAAGGTCCATGTGCAAAAGTTGTAATGGCCTAGTCGTAGAAACAACGTTCTTTGACTTAAACGAGGCCCTTACTTGCTTCCCCTTTTGACATGCATCACAAATTAGATTCTTCTCAAACTTAAGTTTAGGAACACCAATTACTAAGTCTTTGGAAACCAACTTATTAAGATGGTCCATATTAACGTGAGCTATCCGACGATGCCATAGCCATGTTTCTTCCTCTTTGGTAATGAGGCACTTAGCTAAGATAGACGGGGAATTTTCAAGATCAAACATGTAAATGTTATCTACTCTACTACCACAAAGAATAGTCCTATTGTCACACAAGCGTTCTACAATGCATTTACTAGAATCAAAGATGACACGGTTACCTCAATCGCATAATTGGCTAATGCTAAGTAGATTGTGCTTGAGGCCCTCAACAAGAAGAACGTTCTCAACGGTTGTAGCATTGTCTCTCCCGACGGTGCCACTTCCAATGATTCTTCCCTTGTTGTTGTCACCAAAAATGACATTGCCACCTTTGAAATACTCTAAACTCCTAAATTTGGATGCGTCTCCGGTCATGTGCTTGGAGCATCCGCTATCGAGATACCAAGAGGTACTCGAAGCCTTCAAGCACACCTACAAAAAGATATCAAGGAGACGGTTTAGGTACCCATGTATTGTTGGGTCCTTTTTGGTTAGCATATGTGCGATGTGTGTGCGTTNCTTGTGGCTAGTTCAGTCCTCCGAGAGACTCTCCCGAAAGTCCTACTAATCTTCAAGCTTCAACGGGTGCTTGAAAAACCGGTACAACTTGAGAACTTGAATCACACAAGCCTCACTTTCTTACAACAACAAGACTTGAGTCACACAAGTCTTAAGAACAACACTCAAAAGAGATTGAGTTTACAACACAAGAATGAAGGCTCACACAATTGAGCAAAGTAGTGTTGAAGAATTAAAGCTCTATGGATGACAAAATCTTTAGCACTCAATAAAATATTTCTAACTCTCAAAATAATATATTTGATGAGGAGATGGAAGCAAGAATTGAATATTGATCAATGAAGATATTGGAGTGCAAGAGATGAGTGTGGAGAAGGAGAATGAGGGATTAAATAGGCTGAGTGAAAATAAATCCGTTGGAGCAGATTGAGAATATGCACCAGATAAAATTAATCGATTAAAGTAAAAGGTTAAATCGATTAAGGTACACAGAGGTGAAATAGCCTGAAAAGAAAAGGAGAACATAATCGATTAAATGAAGTCCAATAATCGATTAGTCGGTTCTGTCCGAACTAATTGATTAATCAATGAGAAATAATCGATTATTAATCAAAGTTGAGCAGCCCACAGAAAAGCTTATAAATCGATTAAAGTGAAGCAACAAATCGATTAGGCGGCTCTGTCCAAGCTAATCGATTTTCATAAAAGAGATAATCGATTAAATATTATGACCTGAGAAATTGAGCTGGACCTAATCAGTTATCTTAGAGAATATAATCGATTAAAAAGAAAATAATGCGCAAACACAAAGGGCCCAAGCCAAGTGCGATTGGAAGCTCTTTGGCTTCTAACTCGTTGTTTGGAACAACGAGAATATCAACGGACGCTCCTCTGATAATATCTCCCTATTCAATGAATTTGAGTAGGGGAGAGAAAAAGAGTCCAAAAATTATTTTGTGTGTCAAACAATGTACATGAAAAATATTTAAAGTATACTTTTCTTACCACAAAAATTTGTATATTCTTAAAATGTTTTTAAGAACTTTTGACACACTATTTTGAAACTGACTTGGTAAAATATTTTTAGACCGAGAGAAAAAAAATTTCAACTGACTCAAAAAATAATAGTTTTTTTTATCCCTCAAGATTAATTTGTTTATGAAAAAATTATTGTCATCCTTACAAGAATTCTTAGACTCAATAAGAATAAAAAGTCTTCAGAGTCTTCACTTCACTTCAAAAATCTGCGTAGGGGTGAGCGTTGAATTTTATCGTTGAAACTTCTTGATACACCTCTTTGCTTTTTTCGATACGAAAAATAAATTTTCTATCAACTTGATTTTTTTTTTTTTTTAAGTAAAAGCAGTTTTATTCGCATAAATAAAGAAAGGGGTGGAAGGAACAAGTCTCCAACTCACCCACTAAGCAATAAAATGAAATAAAAGATAAGAGGGAGGGAACATAACTCCCACTCACCCACTAAGTAAAGAAAGCAAAAATGCTAAAACAAAAGTCCAAAAAGGATAAAATATGAAGGCTCGAAGGCTAAACAAAGAAGTCCCCAAAGGACAGGAAATGTGGCCCAAAGGCTAGGAAAATGTAGGCCCAAAGTCATCATCTAAGGTGGTCCATGGAAGTCTTGAGATAAGCCCATCTCATGGCTTCTTTCAGCGCTGGGTATCGTGCATAATCCACCTTCTTGAAATCAGCGTTTCGATCTTTACAAACAAGATCCAAAGCACGCTTCTTCAAGACCTTCATCGGATGATAATCCTCGTCATTTTTAGTGACCGGGATAATAAAACCTTGCT